ACTATGTTAACGGATGCTCTTCTGATGTTGGAGGTAGACACATTTTGGGGGACAAAGTGGACTGAGTCTTACTCTGCATTTGAATGAATAAAATTTGTAACTTCAAAAGGTACCACAGAAGTCTAAAATAATATTCTAAGAAGAATACAGTCTTCATAAAGATGGGTTTATGAAAGTTTTTTTTCAAGCATGTGAAAGCAACTAGTTTATGTATTTTTCTACATTGTGTACTGTAAAGTGAGTGTATATAATAAGTGCTCTGATGTATTCATGTTCCACATTAGTGGAAGGCACAACAGTGGCCCTGGGTAGGATCCTAAATGCTGCAAGGCACAGCTGATGTTGATGGATTATGAGCCTAGAATTAGATGACATATGTTTAGTTTTAACAAGCCTCAAACAAAATTGAGGTTAGAATTGTGTTTTTGCCACAGGAATATGAATATGTGGAATATGTTCCAAGCTGGAGCAGTTAGTATTGTATTGATTAAATCCTTCAAGAAAGATCTGGCGACATATCTGGCTGGGAACAGTGTTGGGAGTTCTGGAGATGGATATAGACTGGGAAGAGGTACTGACACATGGTTTCTTTGTTGCCATTTTACTTTCATATTCCAATAGGTTGTTTTAGGGGGAAAAGTAATCATTTTCACAATGAAAAATCCATAACAATAATCCACTGGAATATTGAAATAGAAACATTTCCATAATGCGATCAACAAAACCATGGTAACTCCAATTGTTGCAGTATGACCCTATTTATATTTTTATAGTGGAGTCCTGTAGCTCAGTGGTTAGAGCACTCGCTTTGCAAGTGAGAGACCTGAGTTCAATTCCAGGCAGGGCGAAACCTTGGGCAAGTTTCCTTACTCCACACAGAGCCTAATAATAATCCCTCCAAAAAAAAAAAACAATAATTAAATTGGTCATTTTCAATCTACGACTGTTTGTGGGACATTGCTGTGCGCAATTGGCTGCCGCGTTCGCCCACAAATATACAGTCAATTCACTTTACAGTGTGTTCTGTGAAGCGCTTTGGGACGTCCTCCCGACGTGAAAAGCGCTATATCAAATGCAAGGATTATTATTATTATTATTATTATTATTATTATTTCATTGTTCCTGCCACTAGCATCCTTCTTATTTGCCCATTGAACAGAGAGATGTCCTCCTAATTGGCTGCATGTGTTTTCTGGATGGAGCTGGGATTGAGTTGAGCTGCCAATCCATCCCAAAGGGCCAAAATCGTGGATAAGTTATTGCTAGCTTGTGTGGAACTATTGAGCTCACGGGTGGTTATACTGACAGAAGTTGTGAGCTTCCAAATTTGTTTGTTAGAAAAAACAGAAATATATACAACATCTCGGTGCTGGAGAAAATGCCTTGGAACATAAAGTGCAGCAAATCTCATGTACATGACCTTTGTGAATTCTGTTCCAGCCAGAAACCCAAGGCATTTGATCTTTATTTCTGATTTTTTGAAGTTTGTTTTCAACTCCAAAGTTGGCATCAACAGTTCATAAAAAAAAACATTTTTTGCAGATGCTATTTAATGCAAAATATATGTTGAGAGCGGGGAGAAATAACACAAAAGACATGAGAAAACACTTCTTGTTTTATTCAGAAGGTACTAAGCAGATATCAAACCTGATGTGGTTTAACAATGAAACTCCAAAATGCGATTTCTCTTTACTATGGAAATACTGGTTTAGTATCTAGGCAAAGACTAGATTCTCAGGGGCTAAACTAAAATCACAACATACCATGTGTATAACAACAGTCTTAGAAATTGAGAAACAATTAATTAATTCAAACCTGAATCAAATGTCTCATTTTTTTGTGTGATGGCCTGGATATCGTCATCATTATTCATAATGTTACTAAGTGGCTTTACAAGCTAGGTATGCTGATATATTATTTTTGCAGACTGGATTATAAATAATTGCAAGCACTCAATGTCAACCTTTTCCAGCCAGGTTTCGCTGTATCAAGTCAATGCAGAATAAAATATTTACAAACGTGTCTCCACTGCTTGTAAACTCTTTAGTGGACTACAGATACAATATATACAATATATATCCAGTATGTATACATTAACAGGTTGAAGAGGTCCATTTGATGAGTTAATAATGACTTGGTTAGTCCCTTGTAAATGATTTTATCCTTCAGTGAAGAACTGCATAGTTCATAATTAAGTAACCCTCGTAATAGTTTACATTATTAATAGTTTAGAAGATTGCTCTTAAAAGTAAAATTTTCCCAATCCAGAAATTCACATTTACACTTCAATAAAAATATTTTTTGCCCTTTGTTTTACAATTTATTTCCTCTGCCAATTTTAGTTTTCACTCTCTGCCTCTCCCACTCCCCTCTCAGTTGTCCCCATTGAGTCCAAAGTGAATGATCTTCCCCTAGGTCTGTGCCAATGAGAGTTCATAACTGACCACAGGGAAATATTCATGAGCAGGCCGAGGCAACTTAATTTTGGTTATGTATTTTTTTTCCTATCCTTTTGGTAGGAGTTAGCTGTCCTTTCTATGTTTGTCTTCTCCAACTGCATAATCAATGGTATATGGTGAACTACATTCTGCTGCTCTGCTGCATACCGCATTGATCTAACATTTTAAGTGCATGAACATCCTGCTGTTAAGTTATTTGCTTTTCTCTAACTTGTTACAGAGTTACACAACTTGGCGAGAATTTCAGTTTAAATTGTTACCCTCCTCCCTTGAAAGCCTGGACTTTATTCAGTAATCAAGAGTGTCATTGAACCTCATATAAATTATTGTATCAGAAAATGCAACATTTTTTCTTCGACCTTTGAGTGGAAATCCTGGTTCTCATTCACTCACTACAATCTGGGGAACACATTTTGCTCTGCAAATTGGCATCTTGTCTGCTCCTGCATGTCTGCTCTTGAGCTCAAGAATAAGTTTTACAACAGAAGTCAATACCACTGAGATTGCCACCTATGCCAATTTTCCTTGAAGGGCGACAATTGGAGCTAATGACTTCCTTAAAATTAGAGAATTCTTTCACTGGAAGTATTTTGCAGGGCAGTGGCACTTCAGCGATGTGGTAGTTCACAGGTTTGTGAGCATGTTATTCGGGTCTAGGCTGACGCTCTAATGTGGGGAATGTGCTGAATTGTAGGTGGTGTCGTCCTTCAAATAAGATGTTTAACCAAGATCTCATCTGCCAGTCCGGATAGACTTTAAATATCCCATGGAACTTTTGAAAAGATAAGGGAGTTTCTCCTGGTGTCTTGGCCAACAAGCCTCCAAATAAAAACAGTCACTCCATGGCTGTTTGTGGGATATGGCTGTGTGCAAATTGATTGTCCTTGTTCATCCACAAATTATACTCAGTCACACTATGTTACAGTATATCCTGTGAAGTACTTTAAGATGAGGCAACAATGTGATAAGGCGCTATATCAAATGCAAAGATACATACTTAGAAACTAAAATATTAAAGGATATGGGGAGCTGTCAGGAGAGTGGGATTAGATTAGGTAACCTGTGTTAACAGAAACATCGTACAGATTTGAGTCGAATGACCTCTTTCAATGCCATAACAATCGGCTCTCAAGGCAAAGAAAAAACTTGCTTTTGAATTAAGTCTATGAACAAAAGTATTTTTTTTTAAAACGCACATTGAGCTAAATGTTTATGCAAAGCATTTTCCAGGATCCCGGAGTGACACAATTGGAAAATGGTAGGTGGGAAAGGGTTCAAATTATTTCAAAATTGTAACCAATTTAATAGAGGTGTATATCAAGTACGGCAGCTGACTGGACAGTTACATTAAACAATGCTGATGTTAAATCAATGTTTCACTAATGGATTATATCATCGGGTAATGGATTATGCATCTACTGTCATACATATCATGGTGTCTAAAATAAAACTGTAATTTATGTCGTAAACATAACTGCTACATTTATAATCTATTTCACACAATTTAATAATTTTTTCCAGATTTCCAAATAGGGAAGAGACTTTGCTTTTTGTTTTTGATTCTGCAGCTGGCAGCGAATTAAAATGCCATTCACAATATTCCCACATCTTGCAGGGATGAAAAGTGAGATCAGAAAAGTTGTTCTTTGTGTTGAAAATGCACACTTATGAGTTGGTGCAATATACTTTCATTTAAAATAAATGGGATTTGTGAAACAGAAGATTGGGCATATACTTCACGAGTGAATAACAATCCAACCCTGGGTTCCTTTCAAGGGATATTAAGGGGCCTTAATATCAAAATAGTTAAAACGGAGGAAAATAAGCATTTTTTTTACACAGAGGGCTGCAATTGTGTGGAATGTTCTGCCCCAGAAAGTTGTGGAAGTTGATTCAATAGTGATATTTCAAGACGGGCAGGAGAAATACTTGTATAGTAGAGGTATCAAGGGTTATGGCATAGGATGGGGCATATATATTAATTAAAAGATCTGTCAAGATTTAATAAACATCTGTTTATTAATTCTCAGTCATTCTTCACAAGATTATAATAGAGGTTCGGATAAAGAAGGTCTTTCGACCCATTTGACTTCCAGAATACCCAGATTACTGTCTTTCCATAACAGCATCAAGCTGCTTCTTGAATAATATGTTACTTTTGGTTATTCATTTTTAGTTTGTGTAACGAGAAAATAAATATTTATGATTTGATCTTACATGACCACCTATTTTGCACATCCTGTGTTGACTGGATGTCCCACTCCCTATGTCAAAAATCCATTGCCAAATTCTTGATTGTACACATCATCATGATGATTGAAGGAAATAGACCAGATCAAAATTGCTTATCTGGGGACACTAACTACATTTGTTTTTATTTTGCTGATCACTTTCAGGATTACAGATTTTGGAATTGGGATAAGAGAATATTTGTACAGTATTTCAAATTCATGCATTGTTTGTTTGAGATTGAATTTCCTGTATGCTGCTATCAATCATTGGTTTAATAAATGAACCTTTCACGCTTATTATTTTTTACAGATGGGCAAAAACGGAAGAAATCTTTAAGACGGAAATTGGATTCACTAGGTAAAGAAAAAAGCAAGGACAAAGGTAAATTTTGAAAGTAATGCATTCATCAACAGTTTCCTGGAGAATGTTTATTGCTGAGTAAACTTAGAAGATAGTCAGCTCTTTTCATAAATTGTACTATGAATGGTACCATAGTAATATCTCACCTTACATGCTTTAGGAATGCTAGCTCATGTTTTCTGAAGGCAATGTCTTGATGTGTTACCAACCGCATTTCTTCTCCCACCCCACACACACACAAATTTTCTATAACAACAAAGACTACAACTATATTTTATTATTAATGATGGAATTAGTTAAGAACAATATGACATATGTAAGTTCCAGGATAGAATTAAAACAAAAGGACATTATTAAACAGAGTGAAGAACTCAGTAATAAACAAACAACATACCTTCTGTTTGATTATTTCCTCCAAACATTGAGAATTTCTCTGCATTTTGTTGCATTTCACAATGCAGTCCCGGAGTTTGAATGCATTGTTTAGGTCTAAAATATTCTGCAGGGTTGATATGCAAAACAATTGCATGTTGCAGTTTACCTTGCTTTAAGAGTTGTATGTGTATTTAATTGAAGCATATAAAGATTATAAGGATTTGTAGAATGCAGACTGATAAGAGGTCAACATGTGGAGTTGAGGGTCATAGTCTTGTGGAATGGCACAAGAGTACAGTCTAGCTTTGGACAGAATGCTTGGGAATAGGTGCAAAGTGCATTGGAGGACTATAATCCTTTCTAACCGGGTTGACAAGCTCAGAATTAGGGCATACTCTTAAAGGGAATTTGCTGCAATACCTATAGTAGGTGACAAAAGTGTATCATCAAAAATTTTGTTCCACAGCAATGTTATCTTCACCTTATGAGCGCAGTGACACTCAATTTTGAGAAAGTGGTAATAATGTATGTTTTTGCTATGATATTTTGGCTAAGAGCGCAGTGACTGACTAAATGTTGGCAACGGTTAAATGTCGATACACTTTTTCTTAAAAAGGACTGTTGAATATGGCTGAGTTTCCCTTTGTTAGTGAAGAAGAAGATTTAAGTATTTTATTAAATTACCAGTATGGCAGTGACACTAAAGTGAGGCTAACTTGGGAATTAGTTGAGTGCCCTTTAAAAGTGATAGAATTAAATTTTGCATTCAATTCTAAGCTTCTGCATTGATGAAATTCAAAAATTTGTGCATTTATCACTACAGATCCCTGGCACTATTCAAAAAGAGAAAGGAGTTTCTCCTGGTGTCCTGGCCAACAATCTCCCAGATAAAATTGATCATTCACCTCATGGCTGTTTGTAGGAAATTACTTTGTGCCAATTCGCTGCCACTTTTGCCTATAAAATAGACAGTCGCTGCTCTTTACAATAAATTCTGTGAAGCGCTTTGAGATGTATTCCAGATGTGAAAGACATAATATGAAACATAAGGATGATTATCATCTTATTAGAATTTAGCCACCCAGCTAATCTCCATTGCACGCTTAAAAGGGAACTGATTTCTGCATGCAGTGTTTGATGTGCAACTAACAACAACAACTTGCACTTATATAGCACCTTCCACGCAGGGTAGGTTCTCAGTGCGCTTAACAGTGACTAATAATAATAACTAATCCACACAAACCAGAAATATCTTGGATTTGATCCCTGGTCTGGCCTGAGTTAGCTCATTGCTTATCTTCAGTAGCAACTGGCCTCACCTCTCCTAGGCTATGCAAATCAACCAGACTTCCTGTTTCTGCTATACAGTGGCTGGGGAGTGTGCATATGTGAATCTGTAGTTCAGCTATAAAGCTCCCCACCATCAAACAGTCTGTTGATGCTCACACAGGAAGAATTGTTATTTGAGTGTTGGGTCAGTCAAAAACTATGGAAAAATGTCACAAGATGTGCCAGTACCTTCAGGATAGTTTGGAGAGAAATAAAATCCAGAGAATATGTTTGATTAATTTGGAGGCGACTGCGGGATAAACAGAAGACTGTGTATCATCATCAAAGTGAGTTAATATGAGGTGTCATTTTGTGAGTCTTTAAAGCTGAAAATAATTACTGCACTTTTTCATGAAGATGGTCCATCGGCAGATCTGGCTTGACCACATCAAAACTTATCGCTCCGCCCATCCTCTGTAAAATCTTCCTTTTACTCCAAGACAATCTTGGAGGCTAAGGACAATCCCAGGCTCCTCTTCTCTACCACTAACTGCCTCCTCCGTCCACCTTCCTGCACCTCGCTCATCCTCTCCTCCAATTCCAATTGCGAGGACTGGCTCGAATCCAAAATCGAGGAGATTTATTCGGCTACCTCTCCCCTGTCCACCGCTATCCCCTCTAGCCCACTCACCTTCACGTGAGGCATCTTTCAGGGCTCTGTCCTTGGCACTTGCCTTTTCAATATATATGTGCTCCCCCTTGGTGGCATCATCCACGGACATGGGGTCAACTTCTACATGTATGGGGATGACACCCAACTCTACCTCTCTGCCTCCACCCTTGAATCCAGGACCACTGCTGTCCTCACTGAATGTCTGTCAGGCATCAAGTCCTGGATGAGAGCTAACTTTCTACAGTTGAACGTCAACAAAACTCTCCTGATTAACTCGCGCCAGCACCTCAGGCACTGGCACTTGTGTGAGAATACCAAACTGCCTGCTCTCTGAGCAACAGGGTCAGTAAGGTTTGATGTTGTTAGCTTTGCAAATGTCTTGTAAACATTTAGTTTATTTTGCAAACAAGGGGGTCTAATTTATGTAACTCTGTATAAGCCTTGTGCAGCTTTCACATTATGGATCTGGAAGGCCCAAAAGCAGAGGTGTTGATACTTGAGCTAAGTGCAGCTGTTGATTTTACATTTTCACACAGCTAGGCTTCCAGTTTTTCATTATTTGCAGGTATGATATCAACTATGTAAATGGTGCTACGATATCCTTTTCATGATCACCTGATAGAAAAATAATCGTGGTGGAGACTGGGAGATGTGTCTGAATATTGTGTGACATTTTTTTCTGTGCGTTCTTTGCAGTTCTACTTTTGTTATTAACAAAAGACTTTGATCTGCAAATTGACATATTTATTTTAAATCCTACATGTGTAGCAAGGCTATTATATTAATCATGCCTTTTATAACACAAAGTATCATTACAAATTTGGCTGTAACAATTTAAAATTGGAACTTTTCACTGACAAGAACCCATAACTAAAAAATGAGAAATTTCCTGGCACTAAATTTCACTGCAACCTTTCAACAATGAATCTCCAGTTTTCTCCTCATTGAAAGCAGCTTCATTGAACGAAAAGGCTTGACACCAGAGCCAACCAATTTGATGAGGTTTTGCACTTGTGTGGTTATGAATGATATTATACTTTGGGCACAAGCCTGGCCTTTCAAACAATGTTGCCTCATTATATTGTAAACTGTATGTTTACACTAAGTTATCACTTTGTCAAGAGCAAGATTTTTCAAACTCTTTTGTGAATTTTGTGCTTCAACCCCAATCTGAGAAGGACAATCCCTACAGTGTGATAATGTAATTTGCTTCTCTCGCATTAGTGTGATATTTTTGCCTCTCCCCCCAAACCCCCACAAGTTTTGTACTGTGAGTCCACATCTATTGCAAATTGGTTGAAGCTGGAAAAAATGTATTTCCCTGAATTTCATATGCTCATTCATCATCTATTTCTTAGACAAAATTCAAACCCATCTAAATACTTCCTGTTCAATACGAACAAATTCAGTTGTTTTTAGAACGCTTAAACCAAATTAGTAATCACATTTTGTTGTGATAGTTCATATAATAATTCAACAAGTTTGAGTAAAATGAGGAATACTTTCTTACACTGATAGTTTTAGCTACCTATTAATGAAGTATGATGCTCAGTATCTAGTGTTGTGCCACAAATTGTAAGGTAGCATGCTGGCAGGCCAAAGATGCAGCAACAGACGGAAGAGACTTCCTAGTTTGCTCCATTTCTGCGCTTAAAAGTATTTTGAATGATTTGGAAATAAAGCAATTTGGGTCAACCAAGGTCAAGTCCATGAGAAATACCAAAATAGGAACAGTTATCAGAGGAGTGATCTTACACTTAACTATTGATATTTTTATGGTGAGAAATATGGTATTGGTCAAGGACAGTAAACCAGACTGTCAATGTATAAGAAATGATAAGGATTAATTGATTATGTAGAGTTCCTCAGGGCATGGCATAGAATGATGATAAGTGATATCACAGAAAGCCCATTTAGACTGGTTCCTTTGATGTTCATAGAATTCTACGACCAGACTTACTGGGCTGTATGACTGAAGTCAATAAAAAAATCTTAATTTGTTGACTAGAGTGGTTCTAGTTGAGAAAAATGTAATTTGCACTTGCCAAACTTAATTACTCATGAGGTAGCATTTTGACTATAATTTTAGTTGATGGTGAATTTACTAACCAATGTCAACTAATCTTAAATTAGCATTGACATTAAATTGACATCAACTGTATTCATTGGATAAGTAGTATTTTGTATTCCATTTAATCTTATCAAAATTGATTAAAAAAAGGTGGAATATAAAATGCATGTTTATATCGTATTTATACATCCTCATGAAGTGAAAGGCACTATACAAATGTAATTTGTTGTTGCTGTATCATTTTGTAATTAAATTATGTGCATTCTGCTAAAATTGGTAAATATACTAACAATGTGGAGTGTAACACTCATAGAGCCCAGAAAGCCAGTCCTTTTATTCCCATAGATTAATATAGAGCTACTACTCACTTTCTCTGTATCGGATGCTCACTTTCTTTGTAATCAGTCTGTTCAGTCATATTCATTGATTGAGACAATGGCTGATTTCAACTGAGAACAATTTGGCATTTCTAGTATTCCTGAGAGGAAGGATTTTATAAAAGGCATTTCTCATGAGGTACTATTTAGAAATGGGAGGTACTGCATATTGAAACAGGCTCCTAATGTGGAAATTATCGATTGATTGCAGGTAAAATCGCAAATACTTAAACGCTCATAGTTAATATTTGTTCTG